ATCACACTTCCTGACTTCAATTTATTACAAAGAGAAAGCAAGCAAACAGTGTGTTGCTGGAGAAACACAGACACACATATCAACAGAACAGAACAGAAAACACACAAAAAACCCAGGCACATACATTAAATAATCTTTGACAGAGCTGCAAGCCACAGAAGAAGGGAAAGAGAGTCTGCAATGAATGGTGCTGGTATAAATGGACATTCACATGTAAAACAACAAAACTGAACAGCACTGATAAAATGGAACTCAACCTGCAGGACAGAATTAAATGTCAGCGCTAAAACTTAAAACTCCTCAGGACAACCTAGAGAAAAAGTTTTGGAGGTTTGTTTTAGACAGAATTTGCTGAATGCGACACCAACCACTGCACAAAATAGAAAAAATAAACAGTCCACACTGCAACAAATGAAGTAAATAGGGTTTTCACTGCACAACAGCAATGAACAAAATGAATGAAAGGCAATCTAGAGACTAGAAGAAAATACTTGCAAACCAAAGGAAGGAATCTCTTGGAGATATTGTGGATTTAGTTCTGATCAGCACAATAAAGGGAATATTGCGATATAGACAGAAATTCACACAAATAGTGGGAGTTCCCTGGGAATAATGAAGGTATGTTAAAAAAAAAAATGAAGGTATGTGAATACTATACTGCAGGCTAATAACAATGCAGTGACTCTGTCTCAAAAGTAAAGTCAATATAACTTCATTAACAATATTTAATTGCTAAGCACTAGTAACAAGCACCTGAGCTTGCTATAAACATGGTGGCACTAGATCTGCTGAATGCAGGGTTCCCAAAAACATGGACTTTGTAGAAAAGCTGGTGTGGGGGAGTTATATCTGCAAAGCACAATTAAGCACTAGCAAAAATATGTGTTCCTGTATGTCGTAGGCAATTAATATATAAAATATACAAGGTATTCAAAAGACTAACAAAAAATACAGTTAATAAACAGGATAAGGATGTAGAGACAACTTTCAAAAAATATATACACATTACCAACAGGAATATAGAAAATGCTATCTTCACTAATCAAGGTGGAATTCTATAAGCTTCCTGCAACACTACCAACCACAAGTCCTTCCCTGTGAATTTAGTGGAGCGGGGAGTATTGGGACTTCAGGAACAGAAGGGAGCAGCAGAAACAGACACACCCTCCCCAGGACAGCAACTACCCAGAAAAGTGGAAAATCCAGCAGTACCACATTCTACCTGGGAGGACAGAGCACACCCTGGGGGATGGGGCCTGGGAAATAGAAAAGCCAAGTTCAGGTCACTGGTAACAGTGAGGGTCTTACCCAGCGAGGATATAAGTTCAAAGTTCTCCAGCATCACATTGAGGTACAGCTGTCTCTGACCCTCATCAAGGAGGCTCCATTCCTCCCTGGAGAAGTACAGGGCAATGTCCTCAAAGGTCACGCCAACCTGTCAGAATGGAGACAATTGAAACCAGAGCTGCCTTTCTGAGAACTAGTAATTCTATTCCTTATACATCTGTCCCACCCTCAATCTCCTCCAGGGCACCCCGTTAGTTTGGACACCAGGCCCTAATGCCAGTGCAAGCTGCTCTCTCATCACAGTCCCATTACTCACTGCAATGAATGGCCCTCAGCAGAGCAGCTGAGTTGGGTAGAAGGATTGGGGAAGAGGAGGGTAGAGAGCAATGCCATTTAAGGTCTGGGCGATGCCTGCAGGGCCCCAGCCTTCCTGCCAGCAACACCACTGTAGTTTCCTAGATCCTGTCTCAAAGACAAAGCCAAGCCTCGGTTTATACCTCTTTATGTGCACAACAGGTCCCAGGGACCATAAGTTCACACTTCCTCCAGATGTGCACTCACCACAGTGAAATGTTTCTGCCCTTCCCACCTCCAGTCCACAAGTTCATTCCCCGCAGCTATACCCCCTTCCTGCTCCAAAGCCATTGGATCTCGCTGGACTCACCCATGAACTTGGCATATGGCGTGTAGAGAGCTTGTAGTCCAGCCGGATCCAGGCCCACCCCAGGCCCCTGATGGACCCACATCCGGGAAAGCCCCGAATGAGGCTGTGCCGTCCTCCCTGCAGCCTCTGATCTTTCCGTCAATACTCACAGACACATCCTCAGGGACCTTCATATGCAAGTCACCCCCGTCCTCTCTGCCCTGCACTTGCTGTGTCCTCAGAAGCCACAACACTCCTCTCTCCCCTCCACCTTCCTCACGGTCCTCCACGCGGGACTGAGCTGCAGGACGGGACAGGCGCCCTCCCCAGGCTGTGGTGTCTGTGTGAGGAGGCGGTGAGGGTCTGGGGGACTCGAACTCACCTCAGACCGTCTCCTCAGCCGGGGCGCCGCCATTGCCCTCTGTGGGCTGAGCCGGGCGGGAGCAGAAGCCGCTGCAGGAGTGGCGGTCCCTGTCCCGGCCTGGCCTGTTTCCAGGTGGCGACTCCGAGCTTCAATCCCACGTGAGAGCTGTGAGCACCACTGAGAGCACCGACCATGGGATGTGAGGCGGGGAGCACCACTCTCCGGCTTTCTCCACCAGACTGTGCGACCAGGAAAACGTGACAACCTGAAACAAAGATTTGAGAAGGCAAAATCCCGCCACTAGGACTCCCATTTCCGCCCTACAGAAGCTGCCAAACGGAAATGGCTTTTCTGAGCCTCCATTGGCTCAGCCTGGTGACATCACCTGCCATGCCTTCTGGGTATTGTAGTTCCTAAGCTCCAAGGCCAGGATCCTGCATCTCTCAATTGAGTCCAGGCCTGGATTGAGGGGCAAATAGCCCAAGAACACACCAACTACACTCAGGGTCCTCCAGCCCCCTCAGTGCAGGTAATGCCTGGGGCAAGTTTGTTTCTCCTGTATCCCCGTGGCTGGTTTTGCCTATCTTTCTTCAGGACCTGCTCATTCTGAATGACAGGCACTGTTTCTTCATTCAGGACATTTGGCATGTGTCTTCTTCAGGCCAACTATAGCTCGCAGAGGTTGCTCAAGTCTCTACCTGCCTCTAACCTGCGTCCTTTGAGTCCATTATACAAGGTTAATGTCACAAAACAGACACTCATACTTTATATTTGTCTAATGTATCCATTTACATGTCAGCTCTGTCTCCAGATTCCTGAAGCCTTGCTGCTGCGAAAAGAGTGCTGCCTGGATACCAAAGCTGTGGAAGCTTTGTACCATGGAATACCATGCTGCACTAGAAATGAAGACTCTCTTACCCTTTCACACAGCATGGAGGGACCTGGAGAGCATCCTGCTCAGTGAAATAACTCCGTCAGAGAAAGACAAGCATCACTTCATCTCTCTCACATGTGGAATCTAATTAATCGAAAAAACAACAGATGGAGTGGTTTGAGAGACATGGAACCATGACATTGAGTGCAGAATCTCAGAGGCAAGTTGGAAGGACAGTAAAAAAAGAAAAATGAAAAAACATCCTCTGGTGAGGATTAAGCACAGGCGCACACACGCACACACAAAATAAAAACATTCACCTGAGCCTTAAGCATTTTCTTCTGTTGTCTGAAAGCAAGGGGGAAACTCTAGCTTGCTGGGTTCTGGATCTGCTCTAAATTTGTGGTTAAAAATCTGTCTTCCGTCAGTTGAGTCCCTGGAAATGCTGATACTCCTCCATGGAACATTCTCCTGCTTCCCATGAGTCAATTGCTTTTGGTATTGTTGTAAGAAATGTCCAAACCTGTCTAGAACTTTTCTAAGTTCATTTGACCCAAGCCTGCCACATTGCTAGGAAGCAAAATAAGAAAAGATTGAGCACTGCTTGGGAGAATGGCAGTTTTGCACCTTTCTGGTAAGTTAGACTCAAAGGAAAAGACATATTGGGGTTTCATGAAATTTATGGATGATAAATTGGGGTTATGGGGTGGGTCTGAGGAGGGAAATCTCAGAGATTTGATAAAAACTTTAAAAAATAGACATAGCCGTAGCCGGTTTGGCTCAGTGGATAGAGCGTCAGTCTGCATACTCAAGGGTCCCAGGTTTGATTTCGGTCAAGGGCATGCACCTTGGCTGCGGGCACATCCCCAGTAGGAGTGTGCAGAAGGCACCTGATGGATGTCTCTCTCATCGATGTTTCTAACTTTCTATCCCTCTCCCTTTCTTTCTGTAAAAAAATCAATAAAATATATTTTTAAAAAATAGACATAAACTACTTTTTAAAAGTTTATTGAACAGTTAACAGTTAATATTTAACACAATAACAATAATAATTGGGGCCTGTGTTCTTCTGTGCTGGGAGATTGTGCCTTTAGGAGTCTCTAAAACAAAAATTTCCTTGAAAATCCAAAGGTATGTTATCCCAGATGGACAAAGAGAATACACAGGCTCAATAAAGTAAAAATTGACCTTTGCAAAAACAAAAACAAGAACAAGGCCAGGATATAAGTAGCCCTGTGACTTGCTTTTACTTGCAAAGTTTTAAATTCAAATCATATATGGTTACTTTTGACCTCTGACTTTGTAAAATTCATCAAGCCATGCGAGACACCCTGAACTTGCTAGGTTCAGTATATGACAGGGGTGGGCAAACTTTTTGACTCGAGGGCCACAATGGGTTCTTAAACTGGACCGGAGGGCCGGTACAAAAGCATGGATGGAGTGTTTGTGTGAACTAATATAAATTCAAAGTAAACATCATTACATAAAAGGGTACGGTCTTTTTTTTTTAGTTTTATTCATTTCAAACGGGCCGGGTCCGGCCCGTGGGTTGTAGTTTGCCCATGGCTGGTATATGCCATCATTTTTTTTTTCCATACTGGGGAGTTAGAACCTGTCGGTTGAAGAGAAAATTCAATGACTGAAGGATTGTATGCATGCATATTAGCATAACTAATGGACACAGACACTGGGGCAGTGGGGGCTTGCCTGGGGTAGGAATGGCTGGGGGGGAGGAGGGCCGTTGTGGCGGGGGAGAGTCCAAAACAGGAGAAAAGAGAAATATGTAAAACTTTAGACAATAAATAATTTAAAAATATGAAAATAAAGTCAAGAAAATTCAATGAGGGTTTTATTTCCTCCCGGACACATTGCTGATATCCTCCTGAACACAATGCCCCCAGTATTGCTGGTGTACCTTTATTTGGTCTCCTAGAAGTAGTCACTCTTCAGGTCAATAAAGCCTTAGGTTCTAAATGTGCGGGAGGTATTGTAAATAACTGGCAGATCTATACCTGGGGCCTTCCACAATATATGAGATGCACCTACTAATTAAATCCCAAGATTGTTGGCTCCTCTACTTCAAACAGCTCATTTGATCAAACTGCTGAACAAGATCAGTTACTTTCAAGGCTACATTCTTGCTAACCCTCCTCCCTGCTGTTGTCACACCTCAAGGATATTTGGCACAGAAGGGTCTCTAGTTAGTAGAAAGTTTCTTTCCCTCCCCGCCCCCCCTTCACACAATTCTGTTTTGAACTCTACATAACTTTTTCTGTAGTCATATTTTATAGGCTTGGGGAAAATACTAATAAGGCACCTCCCTATACATCTGACAGGCTATCTCCCGGAAAGCAAACAAACTGTAACTTTTAAAGCCAGCCCCTCACATCTACTCAACTTCAGTGCTGTCCAATGCGCCTCCTTCCTTCTCCCTAAGCAACAGCCACTGCTGAAAAGAACTGTATAACTATGGTAACCTCTGCCTTCTTTACCTCTGACTAGAAAAGGTCGGTGCTGCCTGAGCACCGGTGGAAGTCCTTCCTCTTGAGTTGGACTTACCCGCCTGGCCCCCCAATAATCCCAAATTATCTCGTCTTTTCTCTTTCATTTGCGTGCGGCTCCTCTTCCAGATCCTGAACCCTGAACCACGCGGGACGTGGAGGGAAACATTTACAACACCTCCGCAACATGTTTATGGGGGCCAACGGAAATCAGTCCTATGTGGCAACTCATGACAGGGAAACAAGAAAGAACAAAGGGCTCAGGTATTCCTCATTTTCTTCAACAAATTAGACAACAGACTTAGCTTCCTGGGCACATGAGGACGGTGATTGACGCCGTTTGTAGAGACCTTATAGGTGGTTCAGATGTAATACCTTCAGCAACAGAAATATGCAGGGACATAGATCTGGCAGGACATCCTGATATTAGAAAGTGCAACATAATTACGTAGTGTTCCAACATAAAAACACACAAACACAATAGCAAAAACACTTATGGGAACTTTACATAATATAGATGATTAAATATGAGATACAATTCAGAAAAATGAGGATTCACAAATTTTGTTGTACTATTGTTAAGGCCTCACTAAGAAACTACATTTCCTACACATCTCAGAAATTTCTCCCATTTGTACTCTTATGCAAACAGTGAATATAGAAATATGGCTGAGAGAAACCTCACATTAACTGCACTCATAATGGCTTTCTCCAGTGTGAACTCTCAGATGATAATGGAGACCACTTTTACCTTTATAAGATTTCCCACATTCAGTGCATTCATAAGGCTTTTCTCCTGTATGAACTCTCTGATGTTGATGAAGGAGAGTCTTAGTGGTAAGAGACTTCCCACATTTACTGCTTTTATAAGGCTTTTCTCCCGTATGAACTCTTTGATGATAATGAAGGGCATTGCTCCGGATAAAAGACTTCCCACATTCACTACACTTATAAGGCTTTTCTCCTGTATGAAGAATCTGATGAATACGAAGGGTAGTGCTCTGGGTAAAAGATTTTCCACATTCACTGCATTTATAAAGCTTTTCTCCTGTATGAACTCTGTGATGATCACGAAGGGTAGTGCTCCGGGTGAAAGATTTTCCACTTTCTATGCCTTTATAAGGCTTTTCTCCAGTGTGAACTCTCCGATGACGACGAAGGGAATTGCTCCATGCAAAATATTTTCCACATTCACTGCATTGAAAAGGCTTTTCTCCCGTATGAACTCTCTGATGTTGACGAACATCAGCCTTAGCGATAAAAGATTTTCCACATTCACTGCATTGATAAGGCTTTTCTCCAGTGTGAACTCTCTGATGATAACGAAGGGCAGTGCTCCATGCAAAAGATTTTCCACATTCACTGCACTGAAAAGGCTTTTCTCCTGTATGAACTCTCTGATGATCATCAAGGGCATTGCACTGTGCAAAAGATTTTCCACATTCACTGCACTGATAAGGCTTTTCTACAGCGTGAACTACCTGATGATAACGAAGTGCGTTGCTCCCTGCAAAAGATTTTCCACATTCACTGCATTTATACGGCTTTTCTCCTGTATGAACTCTCTGATGATCACGAAGGGCATTGCTCCCTGCAAAAGATTTTCCACATTCACTGCATTTATACGGCTTTTCTCCTGTATGAACTCTCTGATGATCACGAAGGGCATTGCTCCGTGCAAAAGATTTTCCACATTCACTGCATTTATAAGGCTTCTCTCCTGTATGAACTCTCTGGTGATCATGAAGCGTATCGCTCCGTGCAAAAGATTTTCCACATTCACTGCATTTATAAGGCTTTTCTCCTGTGTGAACTCTTTGATGTCGATGAAGGATCTTCTTAGAGATAAAAGATTTTCCACATTCACTGCATTGATAAGGCTTTTCTTGAGTGTGACCTCTCTGTTGATAATGAAAGCTACAACATTTGGAAAAATATTTTCCACATACAGAGGATAGAAAACGCCGACTTCCAAGATGGACATCTTTTTCCTGAATAAATGTGTGGGTGCAACTAATGTCTTCCTTACAATCTTTTCTACTGTAATAATTTTTTGTCCTTTTAAAAGGCATCCCACACGTCGAAATTGTGGTTGGACTGTCCCTGGTCTGAGTAGCCTTGAGGTGGAGATGTCCTGACCCCATAAGGACACCCTGCCCAAAATTCCCGCATGTGAAACGATTCTGGGATACATTGAAATTGCAGCTGTTTGCAAGTGAGATCCTGTCCACACCTCTAGTGAAAGACTTCTCTTTCACATGCTGCTGGTGAAATTTTGCCTGGACAAAAAATTGTTTTGCACATGCCCCACACCTCAACAGTATTTGTCCATGTTGTGTTCCCTGCAGCTCCATCACGTGGAAAATGTTTCCCAAGACCACCCCACAACTCTCACAGGGGTGGCTCTTCTGGGAAGACAAGGCTAACTTGGGATTCCTTGCCTGTGACAATCCTACAGAAACCTTCTGTTCAGTCGTTTCCTCCACGTTTACTCCTCCACAGCAGCAACCTGAAGAAAAGAAAAGTAGGTAAAGTGCATGTTGACGTGATAAATACAGAATATCTTCATCACAATTGTTTATGTCACAAGAGGGCATAATTCCATACAATGAATTTCAAGACAAGTGAGTCAGACTCTCAAGAAATGGCTGATTTAAGAAAAAAAAAAAAAAGAAAGAAATGGCTATTATATATAACATAGCCCAAAAGGTCACTGAATGAGGAAAGTCTCACCAAGGGAGGACAGAAGCACTGGCTGGCAAGAAAAGAAGAGAGGCAGGGTCTGCTCGTTATTACTCCACAAATGGCTTCCTTTAGGACCTTTCATGCTGGTGCTATGAATCTGTGTTAAATAATTTCAAAGTGCTCAAACCCATAAAATATCAATCATAGTAGAGCACGGGATGTTCAGCGTCAATATAATACGGGTGCGCTCTAAAGCTCTGCAGGCATGCAACAGCATTGGAGTGCAGTAAAGCCGAGATGTGTGATAGAGGTAATGGTGCAAAGTTGAAAGAGGTTAAGGTTATCCATGAGCTGGGAATCCGAGTAGAATGATCACTATTAAAACTGAGTCATGGAACAAGTGTCAACATTAAACAAGAAGTAGAACTGGGAAAAGAGTGGGCAATGGTAACAAAACATTTTTGTTGTTGAACAAAATGGCTTTCTAGTTATGAATGAAACAGAGCCCAGGCATGAAAACCGCCCCCAGAGTCCTTCACCAGGGCAAGACTGCCTCTGGGTCTACCCTGTCATTGATAAAGTCATCTTTCTCCTGTGACGCACAAAAGATTTTGCCTCTTAAATCCAAGTTGAGCCACAGCATGAGATAAATGAGGCAAATCTTACAAGAAAACCTAAAACGAGATATGGTCAGCACTGTGGTAGAACAACCAACCACAAATGAGATCATAGGCAAAAGACCTATGTGAGTGACATCATCAGGATGGCAGAATCAGAGACAGAGAATCTTTCTTCATCACAGACTAAGTAGACAGCTATCCAAGAAAAAAAATCCCACAGGCAATGGGAATAAGAGTACCTTGAAGACAAACGGTAATACAGAATACCAAATAAGGACAACTGCATACAAAGGATGACAGGAAACTGGGTGAGGAAACACATTTGAAGATACCTAAGGCCAAAAAAAAGGGTTAATAACTACCTAACTTGCCGAAACCGGTTTGGCTCAGTGGATGGAGCGTCGGCTTGCGGACTGAGGGGTCCCGGGTTCGATTCTGGTCAGGGGCATGTGCCTGCGTTGCGGGCGCGTCCCCAGTGGGAGATGTGCAGGAGGCAGCTAATCGATGTTTCTCTCTCATCGATGTTTCTAGCTCTCTGTCTCTCTCCCTTCCTCTCTGTAAAAAAATCAATAAAATATATTTAGAAAAAAAAAATAACTACCTAACTAAATAACTAAGGAAATAAATAAATACATAAATAAATAAATAAAGGAAGGAAGGAAGCAAGAGTCAGTCCTAGCTGATTGACTCAGTGGATAGAGTGTCAGCCTGCGGACTGAAAGGTCCAAGGTTCCATTCCACTCAAGGGCACATGCCCAGTGTTTTGTGGTTTAAGTCCTCTGTAGGGGGCATGCAGGAGGGAGCTGATCAGTGACACTTTCTCATCATTACTGTTTCTCTCTCTCTCTTTCTCTCGGACTTTCCTCTAAGAAATTGATAAAAATATATTTTTTAAAAAGAGGGTCAGCCCAAGTCGGTTGGGTTCAGTGGATAGAGCATCCGCTTGTCACTGAAGGGTCCCAGCTTGGATTCAGGTCAAGGGCGCATGACCCGGTTGCAGGCTCGGTCCCAGCTGGTGGGCATGGGGGAGGCAGCCAATTAATGATTCTCTCTCATCACTGATGTTTCTCTCTCTCTGCCTCGTTCTTGCTGTCTGAAAGCAATAAAAATATATTGTAAATAAACAATAAAAATAAGAACAAAGGGTCAGCGATACCACTATGAGCCACTGTGCTTCTGTTCTCATTGATCTTAGTGGCCTGTTCACCAAAAACCTGAACTTTTCTTTCAAAAAACTATACAATGCCCTGGCCAGTGTGACTCAGTTGTTTGGAGCAGCGTCCTGTGTACTGAAGGGTCGAGGGTTCAATTCCCGGTTAGGGCACATATCACAATGTGGCTTCCATACCCGGTTTACCAATGTGCACTTGGCAGCCGATTAACGTTTCTCCCTCATCTCTCTCCCCCCATTTCCCTTCCTCTCTATGTAAAACGAATAATAAGGAAAGACATATGAATTTCAGGGTAGCCAATAACAAAGGAGATCTCAAAAAAGTCTAGAGGCAAAGTAAATACAAAGCAACCTACCAAAGCTTATGTATAACATTCAGAAAATGTAGTCCTAACTGGTTTGGTTCAGTAGATAGAGCATTGGCTTGAGCACTGAAGGGTCCCACGTTCAAATCCAGTCAAGGACATGTACCGTAATTGCGGGCACATCCCCAGTAGGGAGTGTGCAGGAGGCAGCTGAATTGATGTTTCTCTATCATCGATGTTTCTCACTATCCCTCTCTTTCCCTTCCTCTCTGTGAAAAATTAGTAAAATATATTTTCATGAAGAAAATGTAATTCTAAGGAGAAATTTTATAGAGATAAATGCGTACATTGTCACAAAAGATCTCAAAGAACCTAACATGGCGCCTCAGGAAAGGAGAAGTCGGTATTTTTTGGAAGAGCCAGACTCAAGGGGCCAAAGAGCCCCATGTGGCTCGTGAGCCACAGTTTGCCAACCACTGGAGGGCAACAAAAGCAGTCTTGAGCAAGAAGAAAGCTCGTGGCATCACACTTCCTGACTTCAATTTATTACAAAGAGAAAGCAAGCAAACGGTGTGTTGCTGGAGAAACACAGACACACATATCAACAGAACAGAACAGAAAACACAAAAAACCCAGGCACATACATTAAATAATCTTTGAAAAAGCTGCAAGCCACAGAAGAAGGGAAAGAGAGTCTGCAATGAATGGTGCTGGTATAAATGGACATTCACATGTAAAACAACAAAACTGAACAGCACTGATAAAATGGAACTCAACCTGCAGGACAGAATTAAATGTCAGCGCTAAAACTTAAAACTCCTCAGGACAACCTAGAGAAAAAGTTTTGGAGGTTTGTTTTAGACAGAATTTGCTGAATGCGACACCAACCACTGCACAAAATAGAAAAAATAAACAGTCCACACTGCAACAAATGAAGTAAATAGGGTTTTCACTGCACAACAGCAATGAACAAAATGAATGAAAGGCAATCTAGAGACTAGAAGAAAATACTTGCAAACCAAAGGAAGGAATCTCTTGGAGATATTGTGGATTTAGTTCTGATCAGCACAATAAAGGGAATATTGCGATATAGACAGAAATTCACACAAATAGTGGGAGTTCCCTGGGAATAATGAAGGTATGTTAAAAAAAAAAATGAAGGTATGTTAATACTATACTGCAGGCTAATAACAATGCAGTGACTCTGTCTCAAAAGTAAAGTCAATATAACTTCATTAACAATATTTAATTGCTAAGCACTAGTAACAAGCACCTGAGCTTGCTATAAACATGGTGGCACTAGATCTGCTGAATGCAGGGTTCCCAAAAACATGGACTTTGTAGAAAAGCTGGTGTGGGGGAGTTATATCTGCAAAGCACAATTAAGCACTAGCAAAAATATGTGTTCCTGTATGTCGTAGGCAATTAATATATAAAATATACAAGGTATTCAAAAGACTAACAAAAAATACAGTTAATAAACAGGATAAGGATGTAGAGACAATTTTCAAAAAATATATACACATTACCAACAGGAATATAGAAAATGCTTTCTTCACTAATCAAGGTGGAATTCTATAAGCTTCCTGCAACACTACCAACCACAAGTCCTTCCCTGTGAATTTAGTGCAGTGGGGAGTATTGGGACTTCAGGAACAGAATGGAGAAGCAGAAACAGACACACCCTCCCCAGGACAGCAACTACCCAGAAAACTGGAAAATCCAGCAGTACCACATTCTACCTGGGAGGACAGAGCACACCCTGGGGTATGGGGCCTGGGAAATAGAAAAGCCAAGTCCAGGTCACTGGTAACAGTGAGGGTCTTACCCAGCGAGGATATAAGTTCAAAGTTCTCCAGCATCACATTGAGGTACAGCTGTCTCTGACCCTCATCAAGGAGGCTCCATTCCTCCCTGGAGAAGTACAGGGCAATGTCCTCAAAGGTCACGCCAACCTGTCAGAATGGAGACAATTGAAACCAGAGCTGCCTTTCTGAGAACTAGTAATTCTATTCCTTACACATCTGTCCCACCCTCAATCTCCTCCAGGGCACCCCGTTAGTTTGGACACCAGGCCCTAATGCCAGTGCAGGCTGCTCTCTCATCACAGTCCCATTACTCACTGCAATGAATGGCCCTCAGCAGAGCAGCTGAGTTGGGTAGAAGGATTGGGGGAGATGAGGGTAGAGAGCAATGCCATTTAAGGTCTGGGCGATGCCTGCAGGGCCCCAGCCTTCCTGCCAGCAACACCACTGCAGTCTCCTAGATCCTGTCTCCAAGACAAAGCCAAGCCTCGGTTTATACTTCTTTATGTGCACAACAGGTCCCAGGGACCATAAGCTCACACTTCCTCCAGATGTGCACTCACCACAGTGAAACGTTTCTGCCCTGCCCACCTCCAGTCCACAAGTTCATTCCCCTCAGCTATACCCCCTTCCTGCTCCAAAGCCATTGGATCTCGCTGGACTCACCCATGAACTTGGCATATGGCGTGTAGAGAGCTTGTAGTCCAGCCGGATCCAGGCCCACCCCAGGCCCCTGATGGACCCACAGCCGGGAAAGCCCCGTATGAGGCTGTGCCGTCCTCCCTGCAGCCTCTGATCTTTCCGTCAATACTCACACCCACATCCTCAGGGACCTTCAGATGCAAGTCACCCCCGTCCTCTCTGCCCTGCACTTGCTGTGTCCTCAGAAGCCACAACATTCCTCTCTCCCCTCCACCTTCCTCACGGTCCTCCACGCGGGACTGAGCTGCAGGACGGGACAGGCGCCCTCCCCAGGCTGTGGTGTCTGTGTGAGGAGGCGGTGAGGGTCTGGGGGACTCGAACTCACCTCAGACCGTCTCCTCAGCCGGGGCGCCGCCATTGCCCTCTGTGGGCTGAGCCGGGCCGGAGCAGAAGCCGCAGGAGTGGCGGTCCCTGTCCCGGCCTGGCCTGGTTCCAGGTGGCGACTCCGAGCTTCAATCCCACGTGGGAGCTGTGAGCACCACTGGAAGCACCGACCATGGGCTGTGAGGCGGGGAGCACCACTCTCCGGCTTTCTCCACGGGACTGCGCGACCAGGAAAACGTGACCACCTGAAACAAAGATTTGAGAAGGCAAAACCCCGCCACTAGGACTCCCCTTTCCGCCCTACAGAAGCGGCCAAACGGAAATGGCTTTTCTGAGCCTCCATTGGCTCAGCCTGGTGACATCCCCTGCCATGCCTTCTGGGTATTGTAGTTCCTAAGCTCCAAGGCCAGGATCCTGCATCTGTCAATTGAGTCCAGGCCTGGATTGAGGGGCAAATAGCCCAAGAACACACCAACTACACTCAGGGTCCTCCAGCCCCCTCAGTGCAGGTAATGCCTGGGGCAAGTTTGTTTCTCCTGTATCCCCGTGGCTGGTTTTGCCTATCTTTCTTCAGGACCTGCTCATTCTGAATGACAGGCATTGTTTCTTCATTCAGGACATTTGGCATGCATCTTCTTCAGGCCAACTATAGCTTGTAAAGGTGGCTCAAGTCTCTACCTGCCTCTAACCTGCGTCCTTTGAGTCTATTATACAAGGTTAATGTCACAAAACAGACACTCATACTTTATATTTGTCTAATGTATCCATTTACATGTCAGCTCTGTCTCCAGATTCCTGAAGCCTTGCTGCTGCGAAAAGAGTGCCGCCTGGATAGCAAAGCTGTGGAAGCTTTGTACCATGGAATACCATGCTGCACTAGAAATGAAGACTCTCTTACTCTTTCACACAGCATGGAGGGACCTGGAGAGCATCCTGCTCAGTGAAATAACTCCGTCAGAGAAAGACAACCATCACTTCATCTCTCTCACATGTGGAATCTAATTAATTGAAAAAACAAGAGATGGAGTGGTTTGAGAGACATGGAACCATGACATTGAGTGCAGAATCTCAGAGGCAAGTTGGAGGGACAGTAAAAAAAGAAAAATGAAAAAAATCCTCTGGTGAGGATTAAGCACATGCGCACACACGCACACACAAAATAAAAACATTCACCTGAGCCTTAAGCAGTTTCGTCTGCTGTCTGAAAGCAAGGGGGAAACTCTAGCTTGCTGGGTTACGGATCTGCTCTAAATTTGTGGTTAAAAATCTGTCTTCCGTCAGTTGAGTCCCTGGAAATGCTGATACTCCTCCATGGAACCTTCTCCTGCTTCACATGAGTCAATTGCTTTTGGTATTGTTGTAAGAAATGTCCAAACCTCTCTAGAACTTTTCTAAGTGCATTTGAACCAAGCCTGCCACATTGCTAGGAAGCAAAATAAGAAAAGATTGAGCACTGCTTGGGAGAATGGCAGTTTTGCACCTTTCTGGTAAGTTAGACTCAAAGGAAAAGACATATTGGGGTTTCATGAAATTTATGGATGATAAATTGTGCTTATGGGGTGGGACTGAGGAGGGAAATCTCAGAGATTTGATAGAAACTTTAAAAAATAGACATAGCCGTAGCCGGTTTTGCTCAGTGGATAGAGCATCAGTCTGCATACTCAAGGGTCCCAGGTTTGATTTCAGTCAAGGACATGCACCTTGGTTGCGGGCACATCCCCAGTAGGGAGTGTGCAGAAGGCACCTGATGGATGTTTCTCTCTCATCGATGTTTCTAACTCTCTATCCCTCTCCCTTTCTTTCTGTAAAAAAATCAATAAAATATATTTTTAAAAAGTTGACATAAACTACTTTTAAAAAGTTTATTGAACAGTTAACAGTTAATATTTAACATAATAACAATAATAATTGGGGCCTGTGGTTTTCTGTGCTGGGAGATTTTGCCTTTAGGAGTCTCTAAAACAAAAATTTCCCTGAAAATCCAAAGGTATGTTATCCCAGATGGAAAAAGACAATACACAGGCAAACTAAAGTAAAAATTGACCTTTGCAAAAACAAAAACAAAAACAGGCTAGGATATAAGTAGCCCTATGACTTGCTTTTACTTGGAAAGTTTTAACTTCAAATCATAAATGGTTACTTTTGGCCTCTGAGTTTGTAAAATTCATCAAGCCATGCCAGACTCCCTGAACTTCCTAGGTTTAGTATATGCCAGGGGTGGGCAAACTTTTTGACTCAAGGGCCACAATGGGTTCTTACACTGGTCCAGAGGGCCGGTACAAAAGCATGGGTGGAGTGTTTGTGTGAACTAATATAAATTCAAAGTAAACATCATTACATAAAAGGGTACGGTCTTTTTTTTCTTTTAGTTTTATTCATTTCAAATGGGCCGTAGGTTGCCCATGGCTGGTATATGCCATCATTTTTTTTTCCATACTGGGGAGTTAGAACCTGTTGGTTGAAGAGAAAATTCAATGACTGAAGGATTATATGCATGCATATTAGCATAACTAATGGACACAGACACTGGGGCAGTGGGGGCTTGCCTGGGGTGGGAATGGCTGGGGGGGGGGGCGGGAAGAGAGTCCAAAACAGGAGAAAAGAGAAATATGTAAAACTTTAGACAATAAATAATTTAAAAATATGAAAATAAAGTCAAGAAAATTCAATGAGGGTTTTATTTCCTCCCGGACACATTGCTGATATCCTCCTGAACACAATGCCCCCAGTATTGCTGGTGTACCTTTATTTGGTCTCCTAGAAGTAGTCACTCTTCAGGTCAATAAAGCCTTAGGTTCTAAATGTGCTGGAGATATTTGTAAATACAACAAAAATGTATTTATTTTTCTTGGCTGCGGCCTTCCACAATATATGAGATGCACCTATTAATTAAATACCAAGATTGTTGGCTCCTCTACTTCAAACAGCTCATTTGTTCAAACTGCTGAACAAGATCAGTTACTTTCAAGGCTACATTCTTGCTAACCCTCCTCCCTGCTGTTGGCACACCTCAAGGATATTTGGCACAGAATGGTCTCTAGTTAGTAGAAAGTTACTTTCCCTCTCCGCCCCCCCTTCACACAACTCTGTTTTGAACTGTACATAACTTTTTCTTTAGTCATATTTTATAGGCTTGGGGAAAATAGTGATAAAACACCTCCCCATACATTTGCCAGACTATCTCCTGGAAAGCAAACTGTAACTTTTAAAGACAGCCTCTCACATCTACTCAACTTCAGTGCTCTCCAACGCGCCTCCTTCCTTCTCCCTAAGCAACAGCCACTGCTGAAAAGAAGACGCCCCTTTATCGCTGCCATGTAGTGAGTGACTAGCAATACTTGGCCATTTCTTCTCTTGGAAAGTAAAATAAAGTTTCTCTCTGCATGTTTCCTTTTAGCTGTGAATTCTTCCACATCCCACATCACCAGAAAAATCCTAAAAGTATTACTTTATTCAAAGGAGTTAAGAGGAAAAATATGAGGAAAATGACTTGTAGAAGCAAAATAATATTTCCTCCTTCTTTTCTAGGTTCTTTGTTTGGCCCAATAATTAAATTGATGTAATATAGATTAACAGGGCAGTAACAATCACAAAGTTATTAACATAACCTAGATATACATGGAAATGACTCAGAAAAATGGAATAACCTGCCAAAATGGCAAACACCTTCACCTAAAATCACCCACCCCTACAGTCAAAAATGTTGTGTGTGGAATCAGGGTGGATTTTCAGGAAAAGCACAGTAAGGATCTCAGTTGTGGCCCATTGTGCAGTGCACTGTGATGAGGGCTTGTATTCAAAAGGACTCTGTTCCGACCCAAAGATCCAGGTGAAGATACAGGAGACTGGGAAGGACATGGGTCCAGAACATGATCTGGGCTGCAGGGAATACATGGTGAGAGCCAGTGTCTCATTCAGCCAGTAGGGATATAGAGGACAGAATCACATGGCCAGTCGGTCCTATGCATGAATAAGAAGTGAACATCAGTCCAATGAGACCAACAACATGTAGAACTCCAGCATCATTTCCAAATATTAGGTCCCAAAATTCATGTCCAATTGTATCCACTCCTGCAGGGTGAATATCAGTGCCACATAGGAACATCATTTAAAGGAGCAAGCTGAGGCATCAAATTCATCAGTGGAAGGGGTCACAGCATGACACCCAACTTGTGGACAAAGGTGCAGAGACCCAGCCCTAATTACCAAGGATTCCTGAGGGTCAAAACCAGTGCTGGGATCAAAGGGAAAGTAGACAACCAGCAGCTCACTCTGAAAGAAGGATCCCCTGCAGAAACCACTGCAGCTGAGCAATGATGGTGTTCCCATACACACAGGGAGGCCAAGGGTAAATGCTCTGAGATCTAAATGAATGGAAGGAAAAGCATTAACTGTAACCATGGAGACAGGAGCTGCAGCTGAGCCACCCTGGGCCTCAGACTGTACCTCCTCCAGTGAGGGCTCCACATCAGTGGTACAGACTCTGTCTGACGCTGGAGAAAATACTGGTTAAAATCCAGTCTCTTGAACATGACACTTGTCTGTGGTGTAAACTTGGGGAGCTGACTTCATTTCTCTGACACTGAACTTTTTCAGCAATTTGATATGGGACGCACCACAATGAGACCTGAGTGCCCACAGCACCTGCCTCGCTGCAGCAGAGTCAGCGGCTTCTTATAGGTCCCATTTCTCACTAAAATGCACCCAAAGACAAAGGTGCTTGCGGGCATCGGGGGAGTGAGGAGTGCCTGCCTGGGAAGGTCTCTGAAGGGAGTGGCTGGAGTTGCTGGAGCCAAGGCAGGCTGCAGGCACAGCTGCGTTACACAAGTGGACACCTTACCACTGAACCTTCTCCAATAGCTCCGGCATGGGGACATACCTCATACTTGTTTTTCACAGGAGGAAACTGACTTAGACCAGCAGAAGGGGTTATTTCACTGTAAGTCTCAGTGATAATACAGAATCTGAAATTCAAATCTAGGATGCCTGATCCAGGGCATAGGGAATCTGCTCACTGCCCCCCATTTTCTGCTG